ACTTCTTTTTTTTTTTTTTTGTATGGCGGGGGTGGGGGGATCGAACTCAGGACCTTGTGCTTGTGAGGGACTCGGTGGAACCACTGAGCTAAATCCCCGGCTCTAGTATTGACTTCTTAGGCAGAAGAGTATCTTCTTAAGGGCCTTGAGATATACCATGGTGCATGCAGGGAATGCGGGCAGTTATATTTCAGAGCAGCACAGGAAAACCCTGCTCCATGGTCAACTGACCAAATGTGTGATAGGGATGAGGCAACTTAGACTATATTCAGCTTAACTAATGCTATGAGGGCTGCTGAAAGTCAGAGAAGTCCCACTATATGTTTGCATATATAAGACAGGGAGAGCTTGCTCTTTCTTCCTATGAAAGCCCGTTGGCCCTCATGCTGACCACACATGTCTGTGTCACCACATCCCCGTTGCTCTCCTATGGATATTCTTGGTTAATCCTCCTCATTAGGTGATTTGCCTCTAACTTAGCTTTTCTTGTCTCCCACCATAATACCCACCCATGACTTTTCAGTCCCTTGACTCATCTCTAACAACCTTTACTCCACCTTCTTTTGGCAACCCACTCCTGTATCTACTGTTGGAGGCTTCACAGCAACAGACTTTGCACCCCTCAGAGATCTTGGTTTCATTCTGGATTGTACCTCAGCAAGACAGTGTGTGCTGAGTTCAATCCCCACAGCAACACAAGCAAATAAATAGACAGACACGCTCAGTTTCAGACAACTCACTCCTTCAAGATCATGATTTTTTTTAATTGATTCACTTCAATTCTGAGAATTTTCAGGCCCTCCGGTCCTTTAATTTCACCTCTTTCTCACGTCCTTTCAGCCCCTCTGTTTTCTCACCATATTCTTGATTTCAGTGACAGAGTTCATTTTTCTGATGGACTCTGCACTTTCTGTTATTTTCTCCTCCCTTGCGAGGCCCAATTCTTACTGACATTCATGCTGTCTTCTCCATGCTCTTCCTCCACAGCTCCAAGTTGCTGGTTAACAACCACCCACCAGGCTAACTGGGTTTGTTCAAAATCCTGGACAAAGACAACTGCTCTTCCCACACAGTGGCTATGCTTTCCTAGTGAACTGAATCATTTTTTTGAAAGGACATTTCATGCCTTCTCCTGTCTTCAAACCTCCCACACTCTCTCCCGGTGGCGTTGACAGGAGCATCTCCACACTCCTTGAGAACACAGAAGGAAAAAAGCAACTCCTCATCTCCTCACCCCAGTCTTTAGTATTTCCTCTTCCTTCCTCCCTGCCCTTAGGATAATATCCCCCCTTGGGCTGAGGGTGGCTCACCTCTCAAGGCACTGACCTCTTTCATTATGCACCCGATTGTCAATCCCTTCATTGTATCCCCCTTTGTGTTGTTTGGGGGGTGTATATAAACTACATAAAATTTCATTTATAAAAACAACAGGACAGAATTAACTTTATGCTCTTATCAGGAGTTAAGTTTTCATGATTTTCTGCTCCTTTTAAATAAAATTGTATAGTATGCACCTTTTGCTATCTGGCTTCTTTTAATAAACAGAGTATTTTTGGAGTAATACATGCTATTGTGTATATTAGTTTTTATTGCTGAGTTTACTCCCCTGCATTGATGTACCATATTTATTCATATTTCTGTTATTGGAGAATTTACTTGTTTCTAGGTTTCTGCTAATGTAAATAAGGCTGCGCTGGACATTCTTATACAAGCATTTTCATGGAAATGTATTTTTATTTCATTTTTTATGTCCTTGTCATAGGTATTTTAACTTTATGAGGAATGAATACCTAGGTCTTCTAAGTAGCTATATACCATTTCACATTTTCATAAATACAGTGAAAGAGTTTCATTTGCTTCACTTCCTGGACAAATTCAAGGTTATCCATTACTTTGATTTCAGTAATTCTACTGGGTATATAAAGTGCTTAGGACAGTGCTTGGCAAAAAATTTGCCCCAGAGAATCTAGTTATTATTACTACCAGAGTAAGCACTCAAACATTTTACATGAAGGGCATCTGAATTCCTTCTTTCCTGTAATCATGTCTCACTCTTGTTCTCCAAGCCCTCTTTACAAAAGCCCCACATTGGAATAATCCTTGGTATTAGCCATACATCTATTTAAGTATTATAAGCATGGTGTTTAAATACATCATTAATTTATCTATTGGCTTTCTGCAGCATCTTTGGCTCCCCGAATTCATAACAAGTGCACAATACATCATGCTGATTCACTTTTTTTCTGCAGCTACCCAGAGTTTGGGATCGGTCTCCCCAGGCCTTAGGAGTCAGTTGTGATGTGGGCGTCAGACCTTGCCTTTCTAACAGTTGATCTGTAGTCTCCACCACCTGAGCCTTCTCAGGTTGGAAAACCCGGGAGCCCCGGCCTGGTCATATCTTCCCTGACGCTAAGGAGGAAATGTGAGGGTCTCAGAAAAGGTCTTATACTCAGGGACAGAAAAGGCAGACACTCCGGTGGCCTGAGGCGTGAGATTCCTACTGAGTTCTGGGCAGCAGAGCTAGGCTGTGGTCCACGTGTTTCTGAGAGCGCCGCTGAGGGACGCACTCCTTCCTGCACCGTCTGCACCCCAATTCCTGCTCCTGTTTCTATATTGTCTCCACCCTCTGCCCACTCTGGATTATCTCCTGGAGTTCCCAGCTCACTGGCCTCCTTCCTCGTGGACTGCGCGTCCAGCAGCGATGCCTGAGAACAGCTCCTTTACCAACTGCTGCGAAGACGGCGGGCTGGCAGTGCGCCCAGGCCTCCCGGGGATGAGCAGCACGCTGCCCTCCGGGACCCCCCGACCCCTCTGGGTGACCCCCTCGCTAGCTACCGTGCTCATTGTCATCACAGCCGTGGACGTCGTGGGCAACCTCCTGGTCATCCTCTCAGTGCTCACGAACCGCAGGCTCCGGAACGCAGGTGAGCGCAGCTCTGGCTGCTGGGGTCCTGCCTTTCCCTACAGTCAAGTCTTGGCCCCGACGGGTGATCGCCGCCTCTTCTCTCCTCACCCCACCTGCGCGCGTTCCTTTCCATTCACCGAGTCCCGAACTTTGATTCTAAGCTCAGAAGTTCCGGTGAATTCGGACTCCTCCGATGCAGGGCCGTTCTGGCGTCTGCCTCTAACAGCTGCGGGACTCACTTGGCACTAGTGCCAGCGTAAATTGGGCAAAGATTTCCTTGTTATGCACTTCTCTTTTTTTTTGGCAGGGCACCGTCTCTGTGGGAACCAATTTTGCTACCTGGCGCTCCAGTTTGTGCCCTGCGCAGCGGTGCCCCCACTTGGCCACAGGAGTCTCATGATTTTTGACTCTTCTCTTCTTCCCCTGCCAAGGACTGTGACTTCCCCGTAGTAGGTACCTAGAATTGACTTGCTGAAAGAATGAGTGAATTAATGGAAATATTACGGCGGGCTTTGTGTTAAAAACTCATCTCCAAGTCAGACCCAATTCCAGCTGAGTTGCTGACTCTGCCGGGCTAGAACTAAACTGCTTTTAAATAACATGGTATGTTCTGAAGACAGGGAACTCATGAGATTGGCTGTGAAAATCGAGACGATGATTTGCTTAAATCATATTGCAATCATGAAAATACTTTCTCCTTTCAATCCATTCTCATTTCAATTTTCCCTGCACGAGGGAACAAACCAGAGGGAGGGAGGATCTGGACTATGGCCTTTATAGGTCACTAGAGTGGGCTGACAATTTCAGTTTAGGGAAAGAGCTCAGTGACTTGTTTGTTAATTTTGTAATTTCCCATCTTGGGCCTTAGGGGGCAATTTAAATATCAGTGTGAATTAAAATACAAAGACAGCAGCAGAAAAGCAATTTAAAGCTTGAAAATGCCCTTCTAAGGTGCCAGACCATTCAGAAGGGCCATTTTTAGTAAACAATTATATTCACTATTATCATTATATATATATCTATATATAATTATATATATCTGTATATAATTATATATATATCTGTATATAGATTATATTTATCTGATGTTCTTTTTATCGGGGAAGGAGACTACAACTTGAGAATTTTAATCTAAAAACAAGCCAAAAATAAAAATGTGAGCTTTTAGCCATCACGTGGAAAACAGTATCATTAAAGAGATATAAGCTTTCTAACTCGGGCACCTCTGCCACAGTGTCTAATAATATGTGAAAACCTTTTAAAAGATGTTATTATGACATCTGAAGAAAAATGTACATTAAGAAAAAGCAAGCTATGACTAGAAAGCAGTATTTGGTATTTCTGATCATCTTATCACTTTGCAGCAGCCATACACATTCATTTCCTGCACTGGGGGGCAGGGGAAAAGCAACTCTTGATCCCAGCATCCCGCACTTAATCCCGTCATCACATACCCTACATCCAGCCACCTCTGAAAAATCCTACTTATGACCAAATGAGGCTTTGGGGTGACATCTAGATGTAAGCCATAACAACGACCTTCTCTCGTGCCTGCAAATGCCACTCTAACCCTGGGTCTCCACCTTATGCTTTTGCTGTCTTCTTTTTACATAAAAATTCCCCCATCAAGTTCTTTCTCTTTCCCCCATATTTTCTACCTCTGCCTATTTCTCTTTAGCTCCCCCCATGCACGTATGACTTTTAAAAAAACACTTTTCTTGATTTTATCATCTACCCATAATTCCATGGCTACCTCTCTCCTTCCCTTCCCAGAAAGTTGTCTCTCAGTGTGGCCCTTTATATTTCAACTCTACCTCATTTCTTCCATTCCCTCTTCCATACCGAGGACCACTCCCTCCTTGGGATTTTCTCCTCCCCTGACCTAACCAATGCTGGCTTCTGGATCTCCTATCGCTTTTTCATCTCCCAGACACTTGTGCTCTGGGAACCATTTTCAGTTATGGTATTTCTCACTTTTCCTCTTTTCTGCCCTCCTTACTCCCATGGCTCTGATTTCCACCCTCGTCCTCTCTGGAGCACACTCTGTCTATACTATCTGGACAGTTTTCCCTGCTCCTTCCTCTGGTGTCTGTTACCATTGCTAGAGTTCCCCTGCCTCCTCCATTTTCAGAACAGTGTCCCCTCCAAAGGGCAGTTCCTGTAACCATTCTTGGCCAGCTGTACCTGCCTACCTGTGAACTCATCTCCTTTCTATCACTCTTCCCAAAGGGGGCTTCTGCCACTGCCCACATGCTCAGTGCTCTTTGATAAACTGAAAAGATCCCTAAACTCTTTGAATTCATTTCTATCTTCTCCTTCTTCAAACACCCGCCGCGACTCCCCAGAAGATTATTATGAATACTATGCACAACACAGTGATTGTCCCTCTCATGCTTCCATGTCACCTTGAGCCTTCTCTAAGACTGCACCCACCTGACTGTACTATTGCTCTTTGTCTCTTTTCCCACTGGACTAAATGAAAGAGATGTTTATCCCACTGCTGCTCACGGAGCGAGGAACAGAGAAAGAACTGACAGCACCTCTGTAGAAGCAAAGGAAATATAGATGGACAAGGTACCTGGAAAGCAGCAAGGCAGAAGTGATTAATGTAGCTTTCTGAGCTAGGGCAGACCCCAGTCATAGTGCCCAGCACAAAAGCCCAAAATACACCTCACTTTTGTCCCTAAGAGCTGAGCTTCGGCACCTTTTCACAAAGGTGTACCTGCTCTCTCTGACTGCTCCTGAATGGCTGGAGTTTTCATCAAGTTCCAGCTGGACCATAGTTATCTGAAACTGAGCCCTAATGATTCCTCTCAAAGAATTTTTCTCCTTGTTGGTCTGTACTGAACCCGTTAAGCTGCCTTTAAAATATGGGCTTCCAGCCACTACCCACACTATCCAGAGAGTCTCCAACATGGGAGTGGAGAGAACCCTGTCCTCACTGGCCCAACAGGTGATTCTCTTCACCGACAGAGAGGAAAGCACAACAGCATTGCTTCCTTTTGGCTCTGTAGGCACACTGACCCCAAATTCCTAGGTACCCGATGGGAGCTGTGTTCTGATTGAGGATTCTTATGCTCATATGGTTTGGAAAAGCTGTCAGGTATTAGTGAGAGGATTTGGCATTTTTGGAATGTGTTTCAATCATTTATAAGACTGGGGACATAAAACAGCTGACATTGGAATTCCACAAGAAAATGTGGAGAATGTGCTTACTGAACACACTGAACACACACCTCATGCAGGGTCTGCTCTACCCACTCCTAAAAAGACACCCTTGTGCTAGGCACCCAGAAGGGCTGAGTCTGCACTGTTTCTTATCAGGAACCAATACCTGCCTATGAGCTCCCTGGTGGGATTCCTGCCTGTACCAATGTTGTGCATCTCCAGTTAGATTACCGCAAAGCCTAAAGTGTGGCTCCCTTTCCCATATGTCTTCTCTTCCCAGTGCCAAAATGAGAGACACAAACATAAGTACAATGGAACTGAACAAATGTACACCCAAAGTTAAGAACATGAGCCTACTTCTCACATCTTCTCTCACAGGGATCCTATTCTTGGGAGCACATAAGTCTCTTTTTCTCTTTTCCTTTTCTTCACTCCCATTGGAGCAGAGTACACCATCTGTGTTTATGTAAGTACACAATGTAATGCTCACAAAGATGGCTAACCCTAAGGGCATGTCTTTCAGAATGTATTCCCCTCATTAAGTGGCACATGATGCTACTTCTCACATCTTGTCTCATAGAAATTCTATTCTAACACGTGAGCTTCTTTCTTGTTCTTTCGATGTAACTAATAATAATATAAAAACATTATTAAGTGTCTATTACATATTAGATATAAATCACTCCCATATAAGAGTGCAAAAGAGAAAAAGAAAACCTCTACAATCCCCTGTCAAAGGGAATAGCCCTTTCCAAGTTAGCCTCCATCTCTCTCCTTTGAAGGTAAAGCTGATTTACAGAGTAACCTCAAGGGCAAAACTTCATCCTCCCACATGCAGAAGAATTTGCACTTTCTGATGTCACTGCTGACTTCCTAATTGCCAAGTTCAGTGGATACTTTTCTATTCTCTCTCACTAATAAATTCTACCCCTTGCTTTTCACCCTCATGATATTTCTTTTCCTGGTTTCATTCTTCTCTTCTTGTTCTTTCTTGAACCTTCTTTGTTGTAAGAATGAGCGCTTCAGATAACCTGAGTGTCAGCTGGGGATTTAACTCAGTAGTTCTGCTGCCTGCCTTGCAAGAACAAGAGCCCGTGTTTGATCCCCGATACCACCCCCACAAAAAATCTTAGTGTCTGCTTCTTTATCTGTAAAATGGAAGTCATGTCATCAATCTTAACAGACTTTATGAAAAAACAACTGAATCAATTTATATAATTGAACTTCAACTCAAATTGCTATACCACCTGTTACATTGCTACTATTAGATTTACTTATCACAATAAAATGCATACCCCTGAGAGTTTCCAAGCGATTTAATTTTTATGGTCATGGAAAACTGTTTTGCATTTTTGCATCTCAGTTTTTTTTTAGTGGATGCTTCTTATGTGCTAAACATATTGCTTTCCTTTAAATGGTTGAAATCTTTCCTGTCATATTTTTGTATATACTGTTAATTAATTTACTTAACATTTCTGTTTTGAAATTAAAACAAAGACTTCAACTCAGCATTTGTATGATTTATAGCACCTTGGGCTTTTTAAAAATAATATGAGCTTAGGAGAAAAGAATTCCTGCCCTGTGGGAATTTGGAAATCTAAACAGAAGCTTGCTTTAGATGTATTATTTTAGCATCTGCAAAATACCAAGTATATTATCTGTTTGATTCTTTACAAAATTGCCTAGTTCCAAGATGTATTTAGAATATCTTACATTATTCATTTAAAGATTACTATTGCTTATGACCTTATCATACTAGATTCTGTTTGAGGTGAACAGCCAGCCATTCTGGGTAGAGGCAGTCCTGTTGGTGATTTTGTCCAGGCCCTTGCTGAAATGTCCTTCCAGAAGATCTCCTTCTACTATCTCATCTACTGTCCACACTCTTGGTTTGACTTAGGAATTCCCCACTATTCCACCACCTTGCTTGGTCTTTCCTTCCAGCTTCACTGCACTAAATGGTAGCTGTCTCTCTATCATCAGTAGAGACCATGTCTTTCATCCATCACTATGCCCCTCCCAAGTGTGGTAAGCACTTAATACATGTAAATCAATAGAAGAATGGAAGAAGACCTTAAGCCAAAAAAGTTTAACCCTGTTAGCGATGATAAATCATTTATTGGCTTACTTATTGTACTCCTCATTGCATTTCTGTTTTATTTTTGCCTCCTGTATGAGACCAGAAGCTTTGTAAGGAGAGGGAGTGTGTCTGCCTTGTTCACTATGCTTCCCTAAACCCCTGCCACAATCAGGGTCACTGCCTAGTAGATATGCAGCAATATCTGTTGAGTAAATGACTCAATCAATATCTATTTATTTCTGCATTGCCTTTTAGCTCAATGACCAGGGGCAAATTTAAATCTAACAAAACTCTTCTGAGCACAGAGGGTGGACACAGAGAAAAGGAGCATAGGATACATGTAGCTTTGCCGTTCAGAATTCTCCTGTCTTATGAAGAATAGACACTGGCTAGCTCATACTTGTCCTTGTTAAGACAGAGATTTCCCAAAAAGGGGAGAGAAGAGGGAAGGGACTGTCATGGTTCTGTGCATGAAAGAATGTGCTTTGCATATGAATACTGGAAGGGATTCCATATTGATGAGCAAAATCCCTTGTGGAGGCCTCTTTCCACTACACACCCTGTCTGATGAGGGCAGATGGAAATGAGTCCTGCCACAATTTGTGATATAAATATTCATTAGAAGCCTGTGCATAGGATGAGGAACAATGCTGTAAGCACATTGATTCCTTACCTGTCTCAGGGAGAAATAGACAAAGACCTGAATCGCCTCTTAATTCTCATCCAGATAGGACCTTCCTTCTTACAGATGGGAGACAAAACAAGAATCATATTCACCGAATTTGGAATTGTTCCAAGACAGCCTGGAGATAGTAGCATGACTGCACAGATGAGCTTACAGCAGGAACTGGTTGGTTTCAGCTTTTTAGGAACAGCCGGTGTGATGGGGAGAGTAATTGAATCACTTTCCGCATGGAGTTGAATGTGTTCTTCTCACTATTTACAAGCTGTTTGCCAGCCTCAAGGGCATTATTAGGGGCTGTACTGCATTAACACTGCAGAGCTTGACTCGGCTTTCCCAGGGAAACAGCTGGCTGCCCTGGCACCAGCTCCCAGCCTCTCTTGACTTTCTTTGCTTGTGCTTACAAGCACCAAGTGCCAGTTTCTGGATCAACCTACAGCCAGCCAGGCCAGCAAGGACCAATCTTGCTTAAAGGAGAGATTTTCTTCACAATAACAATAGCTGGAGTGTGTATGGGGGTGCGGGGGAGGGAAGAGATCCAAAAGAAAAAGAGGACACTGGAACAGATTAAGGAATCACAGAGAAAGAAGAGTAGCTCAAGCCAAATTCCTGCAGCCAGAGTAGCCCAACTGAGATCATGGCAGTTTGCTGTAAATTCTGAGATAAGACATAGTTAGTCTGCTGGTTCAGCTGAAGCTGGGAAATTAGAGAAGAAATTCTTTACTCCCTGGGAGCCAAGTGCAGTCAGATCAGGTTCTGAATTCAAGACTGTTGGCGGTGGAAGCAGCCAGCAAGGCAGAGTTAGATGGAAAGGCAACAGACTCCTCCACATCCCAACCAGACCCTCAGATGCTCATTTATTATCTTGGAGTTACAACAAGAAGGAAAACAAGGATTGGGGGGCAACTGTGAAGTAAATACATCCCTCGAAATGCAGAGTAGAAAGGAATCCAGCAGTTTAGCCTCATGGGATGATTCTCCTTCACCAGAAACCAAGTTTCTTCAGAGACAGAGAAGCTTATTCTCCCAAAAGCCCTCCACCTGTCCTTATGACCTCCTTTCCATTCAGTTACATCCTTCCTTGGACAGTATTCTAACTTTGGATGCAAGAGTAATTTTGTCCTAAAAACTTACGAGACACAAGCAGACCTCTTTTCCATTGTTCCTGGGTAGCACAGACCCAGAGACCGTGGTAGGCACTTCAAGAAGGCTGCCTGTGGGGCTTCCAGGCTCCCAGCCCCATAGGTAGCTTAGTACATTGACTTCTTCTTGTGGTCAGGTGAGAATGTACCTCAGGACAAGGAAAGACTGGGGGCAGCCCTTTCCCTACTTTTGTGGGGGAATAACTATAAGCATGGAACCTGCTTCACTTGAAGTTCTGACATGGATGAACTCCCAGATGATGGCTCTGAGCTTCTTTTTTCCATAACACGAGGAATATAAACCATACCCTGGATTATCTGATGATTGGACCTTTGGAACTGCCATCCAACTTTGGACCGTTCCATTTGCCTGATGTTCTGGATCCCTGAGGTAGCCCCATCAGCCTCTGAAGACTGAGGACACATAGCAGTGGAGCATCCCCGTCTGTGGCAACTTGGAAGTTCTTCCTGTGAAATCACTCCACCTGCCATCTGTATTCAAGGCTGGCAGTTTGCATGTCACCATGTGGCAAGATACCAGAAGATGTGATGAATCATGTCCAGTGCAAACTGTGTGGATGAGAGAGCCCTGATAGAGGGAATCTATTATCTTGTGAGCAGAGGTGCTCAAAAAATACAAAGCATGGTGAATGAAACAAATGTCACTAAGGGTAGAGCTGTTCATGTTCCAAGCTCCATGCTTAAAAACTTCCAGATTTCAGCTACTTTATCCATGAGCAAGTATTGGTTTTAGAAATCAAAATTTAAGGAACAGAGCCAACTCTTTTGGAGGGGGCTTTGTCTCTTCCCTAGGAATGTGGCCTAGGACATGTCTAAAGCTTACTGATTGATGGCTGTGTGTAGTTTCCTGAGGCTCTGACTAGTTAAACTTGATAATACTGAAGAAATCTCTACTCAGAGGTAGAAGCTTATGAATTTTCAGGCAATGCAGGAGGAGCATGAGACAAGGAGCCTGAAAGCCAAGCTGAGACAAGGAGCTCTGACAGTGCTCCCCCACCCTCACAGGAGGATGGAGACTCTGCGCCATTCCAAATGTCTGTCAACGTGGCCATATGGCTGGGGGTGTGGGCTCTGAGCAGGCTACACAGGGAATGCTGCAAACATGTGGTTCACACTTTCAAGACATTTCTTCTATTCCAGATGCAAATTTACATATAGAAAAATGACTTACAGACACTTAGAAAGTAGCAGGTTAATCAGTGAGAAGAAGATGTGAAAAGAGAATATAAGAGACATGTCTTGGGGGTCATGGGTTTAAGGAGGGGAGTAGTGGTGAATCCACATTACTGACTTTCAGGTTCTTTTCCTCCAATATCCTTGCTGGAGCTTAAACAATGCAAAATCCCCATGCATCTGTGCCTATCATGGAATGTTTTTCATTTGTAACCACCCACTGTGTCCCTGAGGAGCACTGTGCATCATTTAATTCTCACAGTTCTACGACCAGGTAGGTATCATTATTCCCATCTTGCAAACGACAAAGGTGAGCTTTGACAGCCTAAGTCACTTGCTTCCATCACGCCGTTAGTGAGTAGCAGAGATGCAGTCTGGGTCCTCAACTCTGTCTCTAAATGCTACTTGGTTTCCACTTCTAGTTTTGAAAGTAACTGAAGGACTGGATGTTCTACAAAAATGGAATTGCAGGGTCACTGCTGACTCTTGCTCTGTTTCTTGCTTCAGGTAACTTATTCTTGGTGAGTCTGGCATTGGCTGATCTGGTGGTAGCCTTGTACCCTTACCCACTGACCCTCCTGGCAATCTTCTATGATGGATGGGTGCTGGGGGAAGCACACTGCAAAGCCAGCGCCTTTGTGATGGGCTTCAGTGTGATTGGCTCTGTCTTCAGCATCACTGCTATTGCCATTAACCGCTATTGCTACATCTGCCACAGTGTGACCTATCACCGGATCTGTAGGCACTGGCACATCCCTGTTTACATCGGCCTCATCTGGCTCCTCACCCTGGTGGCCTTAGTGCCCAACTTCTTCTTGGGATCCCTGGAATATGACCCACGCATCTATTCCTGCACCTTCATCCAGACAGCCAGCGCACAGTACACAGCGGCAGTGGTAGTCATCCACTTCATCCTCCCCATTGCCGTAGTGACCTTCTGTTACCTGCAAATCTGGGTGCTGGTGCTTCAGGCTCACAGGAAAGCCAGGTCGGAGAACCAGCTGTGCACACGACCCAGACAAATGCGGAGCTTTCTAACCATGTTTGTGGTATTCGTGATCTTTGCCATCTGCTGGGCCCCCCTTAACTGCATCGGCCTTGCTGTGGCCATAAATCCAGAACAAATAGCTCCCCGGATCCCAGAGGGGCTCTTTGTCACTAGCTACTTCCTGGCTTATTTCAATAGTTGTCTTAATACTATTGTCTATGGGCTCCTGAACCAGAACTTCCGCAGGGAGTACAAGAAGATCCTCTCTTCCCTCTGGACTCCACAGAGATGATTTCAGGAGGCTTCCAAGGACAGCCCTGAGGAGGAGCTGCAGAGTCAAGCCCCACCTGTGATCATAGCCCTGCACCCTGTCCAGGCAGACTGACTCTAATCTGCTCCAAGTCACAACAGCTGGCCAACAAACCTATGAGTGGGTGGGAATGAATCTGCTGTGGGGGTGAGATCAGGCAGCCTACTGTGTCATGCATCCTATTCACATCCTCAGCCCATGGCTGGTAGAACTTGGTGTTATGGGCCAGGTCCCATCAGGCACCAGACCTGGCAGACACTCTGGGAAGCAGCAACTGTGAGGTGTTGGAGGCTTGGCACATATGAGGCCAAGGAAAGAAAAGAATGAGAAAAGGCCTGGGGCCAAATTGCTCAATGCCTTCCTAGGGGCTACACTCATCCACCTGCCATGAGCTCCTTCCTGCTTTCTCTCCTTCTCCTGAGGGACAATAAGAACACCTCCTCCTATTACCTAGGAGGAAGGAGCAAAGTCTGCAGAGCTGGGAGAGGAGGTGTACAAGAAAAGCACTCCACGCTTTTCTTCACTGAGCCCTCTCTCTCTCTCACACACACACACTGCACACAGACACCGCAGCCCATGAACCACACCACAGGACCGCCCCCCACCTTCCTCTGTCTCTCAGAATCACCAGCAAAAAGTCAGCCTGGCTCTTTCCTGTTTCCATCATGTTTAAGTTCTATGACTTGAGGCAAGTCATCTAACCTCTCTTTTTTCCCCGCTTAATCATCATAAAACAAAATCATGGTAGTGTTTGCCTCTGAGTGTTATGTAGAGCATTATTTGGACTGTGAGAGAACAGTGCCTGACACATGGCTAGCACTCAGTACTCATTAGCTTTTGTTATTCTAAACATATAAAATGAAAAATTCCTGTGAAGAAGAAAATAAATCATATACAAAGATGGAAGTGGTGGGGAGGGTATGGATTTAGGGATGTAGAAATGAGAGAAGGGCAGCTCCACCCCAATTCACTTCTTACGCTCATATATGTATATATGTGGAAATATTAGGTCTTTAGTTAGCATCAGCAGAATTAGCATTTTTCCTTTAGCTATTAATTAAGTGCCCTCTGTGGCCTTGGTCCAGTAGGAGAAGACAAAAGCATGTTTCTTGACCTCTGGGAGACAAGAGTCTGTTGATCTCAGTATCCACAAAAATTACTTGGATGTTTTGTTTGTACCATGGTAAATGCTTTATATACATTATCACATTTAAACCTTTCAAACTCTGGGAAACAGATATTACCATCTATTTTCCTAGTAACTCACTGTGTCCCAAAGAAGGGAAACATGTTCCTGAATTCATAGACCTGTTAAGTTCAGAGCTATGTGTAGAGCCCATCTGACCAATGGCAGCAAACTCCAGTACCCCAGGCCCATAAGCTGATGGGGTCCTGTAGGGAGTCAAATGTTATCTCAGTCAGCAGTGGCTTTCTGGACCAAAAGCCCGGGGCTTTTTTGCTCTGCTGTTCTCCCAGAATTAAGCTAGATACCCTTCTTTCCTACATATAATGCCAGGAGTCTCAGCTGGGTTCTGTGCTCAACCTGGTCTCCTGAGAGCTCATGCAATTCCCCTAGGCCCTACCAAGAAAGTTTTGAGTGTGGAAATCTAGAGTCTTAGGACTCTGATTCTGATTTTAGAGGCCTTCAACCAAATGATTAGGAAAATATGGTAGATGCCATTAGTAGTGCACTGTTAGGTCCTAGGGGCTGAGTGTACAGTGCTCTGCTCAGTGAGGCTACCTGATAGAGACACACCAGAACTCAGGGCAGGGGTTCTAAGCCTTTTCCATGGGCCTTGGCTACTTTTCTTGGATCTGGGAAGACCTTGAGGCAGACTTGGTCAGGCACATATTATTCTCTTTTCTCACCATAGCAGCTATAGAGATTTGGCTTTGATGCCAGATTTGGAAGACAAGGAGGGACCAATTTCTTGGCCATAGGGTGTCCCACACCAGCTTCCCCATCCCTGTCTTTTAGTGCTGAGCAGAGTGCATGGTACATGCTCAGTAAATGTAGGTAGAAGAAACAAAATCTCTCTTCAGTTTCCTGGGCCCACAAATATTAACTGGTTTGCTAAGGCTAAGCTTTCAGTTTACTAACGAACACTTTCTTACAGCCTTAGGTTTTTTATGATGAACCTGGAATGCAGGAGAGAATATAAGAGAGTTCAGGAGAATGGAGAAAACTGTACACTACATGATGTACATCTTCACTGGGATGGCCTCACACTGCAGGCCCCAATTTTAAACGATGATAAGTTTTCTAAAATTGTGTGGGGATTCCATTAATCTTCCACCTTGTTGACTTTGGACAATTTATTTAAAGGTACTACCTTCCCCCCATATTTCTGAGATCTTCCTCTGAACCCCTCAGTTTTGAAGAAGATCTCTGTGAAAAGCTCAGCCATCAGGGGAACTAGGTGTGGGATCAGATTTCTGATTGGGCTAACTGAAATTACCCAAACCCTGAGCCTGCCCATTGGCCACACTGGATCAGAATACACACAGACACACACAGACACACACAGACACACACACACACACACACACAAACACACAATATGAGTGGTGCTGTCCTAGTGATGTTCATCAGAATTACGTGGAGAGGGCCAGGGATTTAGCTCAGTAGTTCTGCTGCCCACCTCACAAGCACAAGGACACAAGTTCAATCCCTGGTATATAAAAAAATTTACATGGTGAATACTTAAACAATATAGATTCACAGTATCTGAGATGGAGTTGAAAATGTCTATGACCCTTGAATGCTACTCAGATGCTTCTCATTGGCCGGTAACTCCACCCTGCAAGTGCATCCTTCAAGCTCACCTTCATTCCCATGGTTACGCCTGCTACCTCTTCCTGTGGGAAGGGCAAATACCTCTACACTGCTTCTTCCAGGAGTTTTTTTTATAATATATATTATTATGTATAATTGTATATTATATATATATATATTCAGATATGTGATTTGCAAATATTTTCTCCCATTCTATAGTTTTTTCACTCAATTCTTTATTTGCTATGCAAAAGCTTTTTAGTTTAACATAATACCATTTCTCTGTTTTTGCTTTTGTCTCTTGTGAGTTTTGTGTCATATCCAAGAAATCATTGCCAAGACCAATGTCATAAAACTTTCCCTTATATTTTCTTCCAGGCATTTTGTAGATTTAAGTCTTAGTTAATTAAGTCTTCAATCCATTTTGAGTTGATATTTATATGTTATAAAGTAGGGGTCTGATTTCATTTTTTTACATGCAGATATCTAGTATTCCCAACAGCACTTGTTGAAGAGACTATCTTTTCCCTATTTATATTCTTAGTATCTTCATAAAATTATGATGTAAGGAAATCACCACAACTTAGTAACAGCCAAATATGATGTTAGCCCATAGATAACATCATAATTAATTTCATCATACTTAAAAACAAAACACTGAAAGCTTTTCCTCTGTAATCAAGAAGAAGCAAGATGACCACTACTACCATTTTATTCAACACAGTATTGAAAGTTCTAGTCTCAGAAATCAGGCAAATAAAGCACATCCAAATTGAAAGGACTATGTAAAATTATTTTCATCAAACTGTGCACTGAGAAATGGTTGAGATGTTAAATTTTATGTCATATGTGTTTTAATCACAAAAATAATTTTCAAAATAAAAGTCTTCAAAAAGTAGAGCAAACAGCCAACTAATGCATCTAGTAAAAAGAGTAGCAAATTCAATCTTCAAGCAAAGTATGAGCAAAACAAACTGAAATTCTGAAGAAAATATACATATGGCAGATAAAGACACAAAAGATGTTCAGTTTCATTAGACATAAGGGAAATGGAAATTAAAACTGTAGTGAGGTATCATTACATACCTCTTAGGGTGGATAAAATTAAAAAATAGTTACACCACCAAGTGTTGATGAGTGTGCAAAGAAGGTGGATCATCCTTACATTGCTGGTGGAGATGTAAAATAGTACAGCTGCTCTGGAAAATAGTTGGGAACATCCTAACCCTAGTTGCTAAATGACCCAGCAATTGTATTTCTGGATATTCTATCTCAGAGAATGAAAAGCCAATGTTCACACAGAAACCTGTACACAATAATCATGAGTGCTTCATTTATAATAGTGGAAGGTGAAATGACTCACACATCCATCCTTCGACAGGTGAATGGCTACAAACTGCGGCATCCATATCATGGAACACCATTGAACAATAAAAAGGAACCAATTACTGATATGCATGGCAACTTGAATTTATCTCTTTTTTGTATTGGGGGGATCCTATACATGCTATATGGTTTTATTATGCAATTATTTTAAAATTCTGGTTGGAATGCACAGAATAAAATTTAGAATCAGAAACATTTCTAAGTTTACAGTTCATGCTATTCTACAACCAACCTTCAGAGCTTTTTCATTCTGTAAAGTTGACACTATACTCATTAAACATCTCCCCATGTCCCTTCCCTCTAGTTTCTGGTAACAGTCATTCTTTCTTTGCCTAGGAATTCCACGACTCTAGATGCCTCACATAGGTGGCATCTTGCAGGGTTTGCCTTCTTGTGACTGGCTTATTTCACTTAACATGATGTCCTCAAGGTTCATCCATGTTGTGGCATTTGCCAGAATTTCTTTCTTTTTGTGGCTGAATTATATTTCACTGTATGTCTACACAACATTTTGTTTTTCATTCATCCATGGATGGGCACTTTACATTTTCTTTTTCTGTTGTTTTTGTTCTGGATAGGACCTCACTATGTAGCCCAGGCTGGCCTCGAACTTGTGGCAATCTTCCTGCCTGTTTCACCAGGGCTGAGATTACAGGCATGTGCCAGCAACCCCTGCCACTTTACATTTTTTTAAATGATAACATTTTACAAGTTGAGACCAACATGCTAGTTGCAGAGCTTAAGAAAGGTCAGAAGAAGGGGGTGTGGTTATAAAATGTGAGGAATCCTTGCAGGGAAGGAACCCTCCTGTACCTTGACT